TTCCATTGAGTCACAGAAGCCGGGAGGAAAGATATGCTCAAGCTTGCACAAATGATTAGAATTTCTTGGTGTAAACTTTCCATATCTTGCTCTCATAACACAGTACTAGTTAGTTCCTTAAAAAACAAATTCAGTTTTGTCACTGCTTCCCATATTTTAATAGGTAACAAATCGCAAAATGCGATAGGAACCAACCTCTGCATGAAAACATGCTAGTCGTGACTTTTTAACCCAAATCATGTAAACACATCAGCCCATATTGGAAACAAAACCATCAGAGAATCTAATTGACTTAAGCTATTCACATAGGACTTGCTTCTGTTGCTTGTTTAATGTATAACATGGTTTTGGATATCTTCCATGCTTCAAAATTCGATGGATGATGAATAATCCCTATCTCAGAAACGTGCTTTGCATGCCATCTCATATGCTTTGTTGTGGCATCGGAAGCATAAAGTCATTGGAGATGGGGAATCAGAGGAAAATAGTACATCTCCTTGTATGGTTTCAAAGCGAAACTACTGTGACATCCTGACTCAGCAAAGCGATCCTAAGAGGGTGGGTAGAGCATATAGCAAAGCGTTCCTAGGATGGCAGGTTAACTATGGATAATGGAATGCGGGACACAAGAATGAATCGGATCATATATCAAAAGGGGGAAAATAATCATCAGAGGCGCCTTTTGGTGGAATGGTTTAGAGAGTTGGAAGAACTCCAGGGTTAAGCTTACTCACTTAATAGAAATCATAGGATGGGTGACCTCTTAGGAAGTTTTGCATTTCACCTGCAGGACAAAACCGTGCAAGTCTTGCCAATTCAGTATGGGATGGAATTGACTTCATTCAAAGTAGACAATTCCTCTGGTGGTTGGAGTCGGGCGTGACAACTACCACTTCCTTGCCTTTGTTTATATATTAGTTGACTTTAAGTACAACATTCGGGCTACAGCTGACAGCTTTAAATGATTCTTGCAACCTTGCCAAAGATCTTGGTTTGCAGTATCTAACATGTCAAATAGATGTTGTGCATTTGGATTCAGCATTTCCTCCATATCTTCATGTGCCAGAGGGATTCCTATACTATCCATAACCATGTTATGGTAGCGACTGCCTAGTTCAGTACTCATTTCATAAGGGTGATCTCCCGCTTTATATTGCTCATTAGAATTTTATCGGTATTCCCCTATTGTACTTTCTCCATATAAATACCGAGTGTAATAATTTGGTACAAATCCAAATTTCAAGATATGGAACCTAACCATCTCGACATCTAAGAAGTTATGATTTTGACACTTAACTTGATTACAAGGGTATCGCAACTCATCATCATCCATACATCTACGATGTAGGAGAGCAAAAGCAATGAAGTCATTAACATCATTTGTTAAATGAGGTCTTAAGAATCCAAAATCAAGCCTTTGGTACACTCAGTGTCGATTGGCACTCATATTTTATATGCTTTATGTGTAATAACATTTGGTAAATACATCTTGAAGTGTCTAAAATATTAGTGTACTTAATGGTTGTTGGGGAAATTAAATGTTAGGTTCATTCCTTATATCCCATTGCCTTAAACTAATATGTTTGAACATAGGCACATTTAGAAATGGGTGTTCGTTATTATAATTCATTTGATTTCCTAGAGCAATATAAAAAAATACAATCCTTATTTTTAACTCATTCAATTTTGCTTCAAATATAGGACATGTATATACATATAAATAAAGGAAAGGAAAAAACAAAAGCAAACATCTATATGTCAGTCAAGGCATTAATTTCTATCTTATACTGCTGCATTTCTATTTTATCCTATGGTTCTACAACAATTCCTAACATTTCTCTATGTCATCTTTTTTTATTAAAATAATGAAGATATTAAAGAATAAGATTCACACAGTAAATGATGAGAGAAACACTCACCTGTTAATGAAGATTCTCAGTCTTATCCACCAGAAGTTCAATTTTTTTGCCTCTATCTAAAACCTATTTTACAATAGAAAATAATTTCGGTGAATAACCAAAGAATTAATTCTGGTGTTTGGCTAGCTTCGCAACTTAAACAATACTTGTTTAAAAGGTAGGATTCTTATTAGGGGCTTAATAAGTTTTATTGCCTGATCTATGTGCCAATTTCTCTAGATTCTTGTAATAGGAATCCTATTTTTAAGGTTTTGCCCTTAGATCTTCAAGGACTTTGTTCTATAAAGATGATTAAAAGATTAGTTCTATTATTATGATGTTTACGAGATTGAATGTTACAAGAAGGAACCCAGTAGTTAGTAAGCCTGAGAAGAGGAAGGCACGAGATGCTTGCTAAGACCTACATACTTAGGGGTGAGAAAAGCATCTAGGGTTAACCATTGAGGTTAAAGAGCCTACCTTGTAAAGTTAACCCATAGAAATCCCCTTTGAGTCTTAATAGACTAATTTCTTTCTTTTTTTTTTTATATATGACCCTCTAAATAACCTAAACTGATAAAATTTCCCGTTATCTTCTACCTTTCCAAGGACTAAGTAGAGTAAGGAAATTATCAAAAAAAAAATTTTTTTGAGAGATTTTTGAAAAAAAAATGTGGAAATTTTGTAAATATTGTAGTAGGAGCTTTTTAAGTTAAATAAAAAAAAAAAAGAAGAAAAAGAAAAAGAAAAAAAAAAAAAGGAAAAAATGAAAACGCTTATACTTAACACTTACTTATTCTATTAGTTTTTAAGATTTTCCTAAATTTTCCTTTAACAAACTTTAACATTAACATTTACAACCAAACAAAATACCTTTAGACCTAGATGTGTAGCTAATTAAAAGTGGTGGATGTTAGATAACAAGCAAGGTTATGGATGTTATATTCTAATATAGTGAAAGATGTGTGCATCTAATCATCAACCTTGTAACACTTGAGTATAATTATGAGTTTATGAGACTAGACTACAATAGATGTGCAAAGCTATTAATATGAATTTCTTAGTAAATTGTGAATTATGAACTTTTGATTTGGAATGCATAGTTGTAATGATTAACTTTTTTGATAATGAGTTATATATTGAGATTTTTTTTTTTTTCTTTTGGAAAGCCTAATAAAGTTTATATTTTAGTTTCTGTTTTTTATTTTCATTTTTGTTTTGCATGAGGACAAGCAAGTATCTAAGTGTGGAGAAATTGATATGACCATATTTATTATAGTATTTTTAGGTTTATTTTAAGTAATTTAATTTTTAAATTTATATATTTTAGTTAAATTTATTTATTTATATTTTGTGATTTTGACTCAAGGATAGTGGAATATGACTAACTTGGGACTTAAATAGTTGTTAGTTGTTGTGTTTCTAAGATAAGATAAGTAATTTAATTGCTTGGTTATTTTGTTTAAATAATTAGGATCAACAATGTTTTGCACTATAATGCAAGTTGTTTTGTTTAATTCATTTGCTATGAACTACTTTCTTTATTTTCAAGGTATACGAATCTACTTTAGTTAGTTCATTGATTTGTTGAGTTTATGTTGCTTTTTTTAATTAAATCCTTTAATCATTAAATTAAAGATTATCGTTTCCACCTTTGAATCAAATGTTAATTGAGATACCAATTGAGTTCAAAATTAATATACGGTTTAATCAATAGCTCACTTATGTGGAGAGAACCAGAAAAAAAAAAAATATATATATAGCTCACTTATTCGTGGAGAGAACCAGAAAAAAAAAAAATTATATATATATATATATATATATATATTAATTCTAGTCTAGTTCAATAGGATAAAGCAGCTAGCTCAGTTTAGCAAGTAACCTCATAAGTTAAGGTCAACTTTAAAGGATCAAAATATAGCTTGGTATTATCATAGCTTAGCAATCAAGTACTTTCACAGAGAGCCTGAAGCTAAGGAAAACTAATTCAACTCAGAAAAACTCTGCAACTCTTGCTGAAATACCATTTTGTTTTCATAATGCAACCAAAGCCTGCAGATCACCATAATCGAATTTAAAGATATGAAATTTATGGGGGGAGGGGGTGATATGTTACCAAACGGTAATAAAAACTGCCACACCAGCATGGCCTAAGTGTAAAAAAGATAGAGGTTATGGTTCAGCCCAAGCCTGAGTTACCAAGTAATTACAGTTCAGTGCTCGTCTGAATTATGAGGCAAGTCAGTCCTATTCCATAATTAATACCAACTATGTCAAAACGTCAAATGCTAGTTAAATATTGATTATCAACACTTCTATATAAACTGTAAAGTGTCCTCCAAACTTCTATATAAGGAGCCTCACACCCTACCTCAAAGGTACGATGAATCAACTCCAACTATCTTCATAATCCTCCATAGCTCTTTTCCTAACTTAAGCATTCAAGTGTTTATACCTCTTCAACCATGTTTTTTTTTTCATCTATCTCAATGTTCCTCCTCAATTTATATTTTCATATATATTATAGATTATGACTTAAATCTATAGATTTTAGTATATTAGTATAGAATCTCTATTTCAAAATTTAATTATATAGTCCCCAATTTTATTTTAATTATTCTATTTAATATTTCTGTTTATTTTCCTTTTAATAGGCATTGCATATGCTAGTTTCAAGTAAATTACTATTTACACCTCCAATTATACTTAAATACAATAATCAATGCTTTAATTTTCAGAATAGTTCTCATTTTATCCCCACTATACTGTTTAATCCTTTCAAGTTCAGTCAATTTGTAAAGCAAAAAAATTAACAAAAGGATCAAGTAATATACCAGGAAAAAAAAAGACAAACAGACTAAATTATCAAATTCTAAAAATGCAAGTTCTCATAAACTTGAGCATAAATGAGCAAAAATTACTCATAAAAATTTTAATAACATAAATGTCTTTTTATGACTAAAGTTAAAGCATAGTAATTTGATGTTGATGTTGATGTTGTCTGCTACATACCAATCTGTATATACCAATATCTATATATTTTAAAAAAAAAAAAAAAAAAAAAAAAAAAAAAAAAAAAAAAAAAAAAAAAAAAAAAAAAAAAAAAAAAGAGAGAGTAACATTAGGCTGATGTTGTCTGCTATGTACCAATCTGTATTCCAAATCCAAATTACACATGAAAATCTACAACATTGTTACATGCACATCTCAGCTGGATAAAATTAAGCATATGATGGAATTTTTATCATGGCCTTGTCTACTGTTTCACTATACACTATTATCCTTCCTAGAAGAACAAAGTGAAAGTTACTTCTGTGGCCAACATTGCTACTGTCCAATTAACAAGGCCTATTTCTACCTGTATGTCTCACTGAAGAAAAGGAGGAAAAGCAGAGGAAATACACTGATAAACCTGAAACTGCTACCAAATGCTAGTTGATGTCAAATGGAAATAGTACAGTCTAATTCTTTGGCAGCAGCATCAAGAAACTGAATGTCCAGTCCTGTTGCAAGTCGGCTATGAGCTTCCCAAGTTAAGCATTTCTCTATATCAGCTTGCCAATCAATGACATCTATGTTAATGTACTGGCAAGAGGGACCGCGAAAACCGTTTATGTCCACTTGGTTAACAGTAGGTCTTATTGAACCAGTATGCAAAATACTGCGGAGAACTGATGCGCTAAGAGCACGGACATGTGCGCTTGGATGAGAAAGGCATCGGATAGTAGCTGGTAGCCGACACTGCATGAATTAGTCAAAAAAATGTCAAATTAGCAAACTTTAGCCGACACTGCATGAATTAGTCAAAAAAATGTCAAATTAGCAAGCTTGAGGTCTCCATGCCATTTAGCACATATATATATATATATATATATAATTCCTTAGAGCATTAGTTTCCTTGGTTTTGTGACAAAAAATCATTACACCTAAAGTTCAAGCTCGTGAGGGCCCAAGTATGGTTTTACATTTCCAAATTTCAACACCCCCTTCAACCAAAGTCCACATAACTTTGTTGAAATTTGATTACTCATGCGGCATTATTCCTCTGATACCATGTCGCAGAACCATTTAATCTTTTAACTGAAGTTTGTAACTAAGAGCCCAAGAAAGGGTATTATATTTTTAACAGTTAGTAGCAGTTACATTACATGTGCATGCAACCTTTGGACTAGATGAAACTGGATATGCTATTGGGTTTTCTTTTCCACCCCCTCCCAAAACCCCCCCCCCCCCCCCACCCCCTTCCCAAATTAACCCCCCCCCCCTTCTCTTTTACCTTCAACAGGTTTTGAAAGGCCATCTTGCAACTGCAACAATCCAGATTCTTCTCCATTCAAAAACAGGCCTGAACTGCTCTATGTCGCTCAAAGTAACTGCACAAATTGAAGATTGGAGCATCAACTGATACCCCCCCCCCCCCCTTCTCTCTTTACCTTCAACAGGTTTGAAAGGCCATCTGCAACTGCAAATCCAGATTCTCCCCATTCCAAAACAGGCTGAACTGCTCTAGCTGTCGCCTCAAGTAACTGCCACAAATTGAAGATTGGAGCATCAACTGATAGATAGACCATACTGAATATTGACTACATTTCTTAATATAATAAGCCTGAAGTCAATATGCATCTAAGAATATTGTGAAGAATAGGTCAGAGAACCTCTAGCTGTGGTAAAGTGCAAGCTTCTCCATCAACAAGCATCCCATCTGTTGCACGTAGAAGTAGGTCTGACGCACTTGCTAATATTACCAATGATTCTGGTGTATCATGATTTCTCATTAATTCCACGATTAATCTGACTATTCGCTGGTTGATTCTCCACATTTTCTGACCCTGATCGTCATCTTTGGCAATCCAAGGTTGTAATTCCCTATCCGCCTAACAAGCACACAAGGCAACGAAAGTTACTAAATAAAATAAGTGACTAAAAAATGAACAACAAAACAAGATTGCTGACTTGGAAACCCAGTGGGGCACACCTCCAAAATAGGGCAGTTAAACATTTTAAACATTATTCAAGCCATTCTGGTACTAACATGTTTTCTTGGTCGGTATATTTTTAACCATGCAATGATTAGGATTGATGTTACTGAATTTCTATTGTCCTGTTTTGGAGGTAGTGTTACCTTACACAACGCCAGATGGTTTCCAAGCATGATAAGGAAAACCCTAACAGATTTTATGTTTTGGATAAAATTTACAAGTTGAACAAATTTTGGACCTGAAGAACAACTGCTGTAGCTGCTTTTGTAGGTGATGACGATACAACATTGCATAGTGCATCAACAACCTGAACACATCCAAATAATATGGTCAAACAAAACATTTCACATGGAAAATAGAAATAAAATTCCAAATGAAATTCAAACTATTGCATCAGCTTCCCTACAGCTGGGCTAGCCGGCTAGGTCTTGTGCATGCAATCATACCAATCAAGACATTTACATTCATTTCCTTTTAATACAGTACAAGCTAAAACTTCCTTTGATACAAACAAATAGAAACTGAAATGATGAAAGTGTAACCTAATGACAAAAAAAAAAATCCAATCTTTTCACAAAACATCAATTTTAGCCAAAACTTCTAGCTAATTGAAAAATTTATACCTCAATCTTTGATGTAAGTATCAATTTTAGCTAAATATTTTATCAGTTTGAACCAAACTTTTGCATGAATTATCAATTTGAACCAAGCTCTTGCATGAATTGTTCAATTTTAGCAAAGGGTCAATTATTAAGATCTTAAACACTAAAATCTTGCGATTGTGACCCTGAACAATCAAGCACTTTCAACTCCAACTTTTCTCACTAATTCTCCATGAAACTTTGCAAATGAATTGTTCAAGTGAGCTATTAAATTGAGTAGAACAGATTTTGGGAGTTCTATTTGTCTAGGTAAAAACATTTAACACGTAAATTAAAACAAAAATTATCTAGATACATCTCCCTCAGGTTTACTGCAGAATGCTAATCTATTCATGCAAGCAATATATCACATTAAAGCTTGTTAAAGGTTATTTAAGAATCTAATCCAATTTATCAAGTTTAAACGAAGTTGAGAGAAATTGAGAAAGAATTTTTCCTGATTCACATTAAATTCTTAACTAGTTCTGATTTGAATCACTATAGTTTTCAAAATACTAGTACTTTAATTGTAAGGGATTAATTAATTTTAGTGTTTTTTTTAATAAACCAGAAATAATAATCACACTCCATTATATGTAACAAATGGAAATCACCTGTCTCCATCCTTGTTGGGCAGACGTGCTTTCAGCGGTAGGTTGAGTTTCGGGTGTGACAATCAACTTGTGCCACAGCAGTGAAACGACAGAGAAACACAACTCTTGTTTCTCTGCAAGCACTGATCTTAAAAGAACTTGTGCACTACAATTGAATCCGATGTGCCTGTCCATTGTTAAGAAATTGGCCAAATCTGAAGCATCTAATGGGAACCCGGCAATACGCTTACCCAAGGTACTTCCTGAACCTTCTTCTGATTGTGACAGTCTCTCACTTTTAATTCTAGGTTCTGTACAAGCTGATTCTTCACACTGTGAGGTAGATGACTCCCCTGAATTGAAGCAGTCTGTGCTTGCACTTTTGTTTCGCTTTTTGCCATCTAAACGCACGAGGGAATCTTTCCAAACTGGAAAATGCAAGTGTGCCTCTAACGGCTCAGCCTTGGTAACTATTGATGCAACAGCTTTGCTATGAATATCAATGAGGTTATATAGTGATGACGCCCTGGTATAAATTTCTTTGTCCCACTTGCACCGCATCAAAACAGAAAGTGCATGCATGCAAGCCTTTGACCGTCTGAATAGTTCAGAAACATGAGCAGCAACCATAGCTGCAGCTACTATCTCATTTGAACTGTAACTCCAAGAGGTACCAACAGAAGATGGTTTCAAAGAAAAAAGTGCCTCCAAAATTGCTAAGATTCTATGAGTATGATGAATTGCAGAGTCAATACTACTTTGGAACTCACTACTAGATCCATTTAATTTTACAGGCTTGGCCACCGTCTGACAATCTTTAGAACTTGAATGATTACTGCCCCTTGAAATGAAAGGGAACAACTGAAGCTCACAGGAAAGAGCACATACAGCAGCCAAAACATAAGAATCAAATGCTGCGACAGGACCTTGTTTTTTTATCTTTCTAGACTTCAGCATTTCAGATGTTAGTTGGTGCGAGTCCTCATTGCTATCATCCGGTGGATAAATTTCCTCACCTCTTGGTCTCTTGCTTCCATTAGATTGAGCCTCATGACTCACACACACAGTTAACACAACAAATAGTAGGCGTGAAGCAAGCTCTATGGAGGCACATGATTCCAGAAAGAGAGAATGGACCATTGTACGAAGTTCTGCCACTGCAAGGTTTTTGGAGGCAGATCCCATGCTAGAAAGATATCTTGATTTTCTGGTTTGTTCCCGGGAAGACACGGGTGGAAATGTTCTCTGAAGAATAGCTTCAACAGTAGCAACAAATATTTTCATGAGACATGCTTCAGATGGACTTCCACGAGGAAGGTATTCCAAGACTTTAAGGAGAGGTATATACAGGTTCCATGATAATATAGGAGTCTGTAATGGAGTGGCCACTATGATTTCAGGAAGATCGACTGCTGAGGAACCTAAAGGAATCAGGCCATAAGCAGCTTCCCAAATGGTGCAAATTCTCCATTCAACCTCTGGGCCATGGGCACAAAGCATAGATGCAATCCCCTGGGCAGTTGCTTCAATAGTCGCTTCAGCTGCAGGCACTTCTATCTGGTCATAAATTTTTGGTAGTTAGGTCCAATAACTAGTGCAAAGCTAAAAGTCTTGGTGCTGAAAAAATGGTTTCAGGTTCAGGGCCTGGAAGCAACCACTTCATGCTAAAATGCGCAAGTATTAGATACGGTTGACTCCAGAGTTCTCTTTTTGAAGGAGAAAAACTGGGAAATTGCCACTTTTTCCAGGTTAGGTTTAATGGTTACAATTTTTCAAATTGAAAATAGAACAGAACATGAAAATCTTTCATAAACTGAAAACTAATCAGTCATAGTTATGACTTTACCACTGTTTCTACTCTACATTACCTGCTTTCTGTAGTTTGAAATATAACCGCCCAAAAGCTCATGTTGAACTTCAACACCCTCAACTTGCCTTAGTGGTGGAAAAAGCAACGCAGGCTGTGAGAGAATGCGAAAAAGTAAAGCTGCAGCGGCATCAGCAGCTATTCCTGCTCTCATTGACATTGCAATCCCAATTGCACGCAAGAAATGCAAGTGCATCCAATTCCTGGGAAGCTACAACACCAAAAAAATAGAAGCAGTCACCACAATATGGAATAAAAAGGAAGATAAATTGATCAATTACAAAAAGACTATGAATCCACACATTTAATCCAGAAAAAGCAATCAATGTTAGAACATACTATCTGTGGTAAAGAATTCCTTTCTTTTATGTTAAAACAGCTCCAATTATCCATTTTCAAGCCACAGGGTGGCAGGGAGAAGGAAAAAATATATGAAGTACAATATACTACTAATTTTCCCATTGATGGTTTTGAAAACAAGTGATTACACCCATGCTACCCATATGATCGCATGTAGGCCTAAAGTTCCATCAATCAGTGAAATCTTTCAATTGCAAGATCAAAAGTTGTTTGTAGATCAAAGGAAATATCATCCACGGAAATACAAAGTGGAGTATAAATGTCTCTCTCAAAGAAACCAGAGAAGAACATCAGAAAAACAAAATATCAGGATGATTTTTCAACCAAACCCTCCAACTTTTACTTTTCCATTCAATGGTAAAGGCATCAACCAGATTCTAATTGAATGAAATAGCTTAGCGCAGTCCTTGAATCACAATTTCACGTGTTTGCTTTACATACAATTAGGAGTAAATTGATGCTTTTAGAAGTTCAGCTACTTGATTGAGAAAACTAAGAGTTGGAAGATTTCACTGTGAACTTGTTAAGAGTTCAGGAACTCCCCCTGTAATTATCTCAGGACTGTCATTTTTTCAACAGGCAAAACTAATAACTAGCAAGTTCAATGTGTTAACATGTGAAACACTAGCCCCCTCATGACAAATCTCCAGTTCTGGACTAAACAAGTACTTGTTAGGCTAAGGATATCAATGAGGCAGAGTCAGTCACCATGGTGGAATTCTATAACGAAGAGGCACATACGCCAAGAGAAAAAATTATGAACAACCTTATCAACTTGAAACAAAATTACGATTTTAACTCTTGTCAATCTACATTAAAATGTGACCAATCAAACTGTCTAACTTACCCTTATGCCAGATGCATAATCTTCAGCAGCTCGGAGGAGTTCCACAAGCTGTACAGCAGCATCAAGTGCATCTGGAGCCCATGAAGGCGGTGCTTCCAAAAGTCCAAGAAGAAGTCGCTGGGTGGCACTTGGAGTTGCAATTGCATAATACCTGGTCACATTAAAAGAATAAATTGAGCATACTTTAATATGTAGAATCATTCAACCAAGCAACAAGCAACTCTGACACTTTTAGACACAGGAATTCTCTACCACTGTCTTCATGAACTCTTCAGTCACTTGTATGCATATTTCCACTTTCATCTCTATTGTCCTTACAAGCTGCTACTTTACTGAATAAGGATATATTTTCATTAAAATTAATGTAGGATGTCTGTGCTATTAATTTTTAGCTTCTGTTTTATGTTTCCTGTCACTAGCCAGTTCTTGAGTTGTAAGAGGATTTCTTGTCCTCAACAGTTGTGCACTCATATCTTTCTCTCCCAATAATATTTTTCTTGCAAAAATGATAAAAGCCATAAATCACCTTAACCCAACTGTACCTAGACAACAAATGTATTTAAGAAAGGCCCATATTATACAGTTACAAATTAAAATATTCACCGATGAAATAAACGTGCATATGGCTCAAGAGCCGGTAGCCCAGCAACTAGATGTTCATCCAAAGCTGTTGTTGGAGGGGGAAGTAAAAGTGCAGGGACAGCAGCTGCAGTTAATGTAGCAGTCTCATAACGAGCCACTTCATCATCACACACACTTAATATAACCCCAGCACCGTTGGCTACAGCCCATCTTGGGGTTGATGGCATGAGCTGAGGATGTTTCCCAGATCCACGAGATGAAGCTAAAGAAGAAAATTAATAAAATACGTTAGTTGAGAGTGATACATTTCTCTCAAGTTGTAAACTACTAAAATTGACAAACAGCATTTGAAATTCATCAAAAACGACATTAGAAAAGTATGATCAAGTATGATCCCTTTATAAGATAAGGATATTAACTTCAATGCCACACATAATTCCTATCACGAGCAACAGAAACTTAAAACCATTAAAGCATTTGTGGATACGCACATGCTTAGGCTTAATTAATGATCCCTGAACTATCACTAAATTTTAGAATGATCAACTGAACAATTTGTCTCAGCAAATCACTTAACTTGATTTCGCTCTTGCCAAATTTTCTGGGAAATTTTAGCTGTATTTTTTAAGTGTTGATTAAGAAAAAGCCTATTTGTAATTGCATAACTATATTAGATAATTCCATCACTGTTCATTTAAGTGAGACATAAAAAAGTGCAAACTGTGTAAGACTTAATGAAAGAGCCTAATAGTGCATACTTAATTCACTCAACACTACCCCTACACCTCAATTTAATGATTTGAAGGAAAGTTATTCTGAAGAAAACCAGATTTTTATAATGCATTATGCACCTTTGTGATTTCACAGTTAAAGAAAATCACTCCTAATTGTCTATGTTCTCTGAGTCACTTCAACAAGAATCCTTAACAAAGAAAAAGACGGTAAGAGTACAACCTAAAGGAACCCTGAAAAGATTAAAGGCTAAAATATAAGCAGAACTAGACAAGATCTGAATATCAAAAAAAATAAAAGATAGGTGCACCCCAAGGCATATTCTAGTGGTAAGTGCTTGACAACCTGGAAATAGATCCAGGTTCGAATCCTCCTCCCCCAATGCTCAAAAAGAGAATAATAATAATAAAAGATAGGTCCCTCATAGAAAAATCAATTTTCAAAACAGAAACTGTTTAACAATTGTAACAAGGGTCGCATTGCAGAAAATATCAGATGGAAAGAAAATATCACTTAATTAGAAATAAACTAATTCCTAGGTCCTGGAATGCATGCAAACCTACTTTTAAGACCTCACCTACAAGCTCTCAAGCTACTAGGAGATATACTCTTAATTTATGGTCAAACATGTCTGCTCTACAAGGCTGGATGACATTGATGTTATGTCAATAACCTCAAGAATAACAAGAGTCCCATATGAAAGAATATTTTAGAGGTGAAATATTCACTAAGGATATGTCCCAAGTGCTCTCTAACCTATGCTGTCAAAGATCAACTTACATGTCAAACAAATGATGTGTTATACCATCTTAAGTACATCTGATAATTGGAAAAACAGATCCTCCTGCATTTTTCATAAAACTCATTTCTCACTGATTCAAACTTCAAATAAATGGAAAATTCATCATCAGAATCAATCTTTAGACATTGTTTAGAAAGCATCTATTCCTAAGAATATTATGTGATGTTTAGACAACTCTTATTGATGAATTGTGTGTGTGAGTGCATGCGTGCATGCATATGCGTGCATGTGTTTGTGTGTGTGTGTGTGTGTGTGTGTGTGTGTGTGTGCACGAGTGTGTGTATATGGCTAAATTCATTGCCCTCATCTGATACATTATTTTCATCAGTTTTTTTCACATGAATTATGCAAGGTGCTAGCTTAAAGATGAAATGACCATTAGGTACATATCCCAGGTGACATCTGATAAATGCAGGCACAAAATCATCTTGTTTTTGAAACTAATGATGTCTTCTACAATCTTTGAATACATCCTGAAAATTGGAGCATGCAAATTTCACATCAGTCACTCTCTGTAAATTTCAACTTTGAATGAATGGATAAATTAACCATCATTGCCTTGTCAAGTTTAGACACCTTTTATTGATGTTGATTGACATTTAAGAAAATTATCTATATATATATATATATATAGACTAAGCTATTACATTAGCCCCGCTGCTTGTACAACACTTGCAACTTGCACAAAAAGCATAAGCAAAATAATATAATAGTTTTGTTAAATATTTCCCATGAAAGCCCAACTTTTTTCAGTAACAGTTGTTGGAAACTTGACCATACAGGGGGCGACCCAAGCATGATCCAAAATCAAATATATGTATATATATACATACACCCACCCCTAGACACATGTATCTCTCTCTCTCTCTCTCTCTCTCTCTCTCTCTATGCGTGTGTGTGTGTGTGTATATATATATACAAGCATGATCAAAAATCCAAATATATGTTATATATAATACAATACCACGCCCTAGACACATGTTTCTCTCTCTCTCTCTCTCTCTCTCTCTCTCTATGCGTGTGGTGTGTGTGTATATATATATATATATATATATATAAGCAGTCAAACTGGATATTAACAGGACAACGAATCAAATTCCATATTTCAAAAGGAAGATTAAACAAACCAGTTGTTGGTGGCTTGAGCTCTCCAGCCGCATATTTACCCATGACACCACTGCACCTGAAAGTATGTTGAGGTTTATGATTAAGAGCATATTCATCACAAGAAATTGGCAAAAGAATAACGAAAATTTGTATGGTTACCGCAAGTTGCTAACTTGCTACAAGAATCAACTCTTCGTACGGAATTTTATACAATGAAGGTACCAAAGCAAGTGAATGCAAATTCTATTACTTAAGAAAGTCACAAGGGAAAAGGAAAAAGAAAAAAAAAAAAAGAGAGAGAGAATTTCTGGCCCACCATGATTGTTGAATACTTCTACATAAGTAAACCAATTAACAAATGAAAAAAGAATGAAACTAATTTCATTAGATACTAACTTACAACTAGTTAATTTTTCACCGAAAAAGATTTTCCTTATAATGCTTCCATTTATATTAATAAGTCTTGACTTATGTTGTTCCACAAGCTCGTCTTCCGGGGGAGAATAGAGATGAAGAGCTTGCTTCTGTTGTTCCTAAAAAGTTTTTGAATCCAACCACAACCAGTAATACTGAGCATGAACCAAGTAATGAGCGAGAACCTAGACAAAGTAGATTGGATAGACCAGATCTAAAAAGATACAATCGAAGGGAGAAGATTAATGCCATTGAACATGATATACAGATCAAATGTCACCTCTACAATCAGTTCCTAAAAAATCACATCGTGAGTCCTCTATAACTCCTAGTTTGAATTCTAATATAACTCTGATTCTATAGCTAATGATATTGATATTCTTATTGCTCTAAGAAAAGGAGTTAGAACTTGAACCAAACACCCTCTATCTCAATTTGTTTCTTATGATTCATTTTCTCCTTCCTATGAAGCCTTTCCATTGTTGTTTCTTTTGTCACTCTTTCACAGAATTGGCAAGTATATCAAGATTCAAAATGGAAAGATGCAATGGTGGAGAAGATGAAAGCTTTAAAAAAAAAAAAATGAAACTTGGTAACTTGTTACTCCTTCATTAGAAAAGAAACAAGCATGATGCAAATGGGTGTCCACTGTAAAACAAAAGGTAGATGGATCAATTGAAAGATACAAAGCTAGATTGGTATATAGAGTGAACCATCAAGAGATTTTTGCTCCAGTTGCAAATATGAATACTATAAGAATTTTGTTTCCATATGCAGCCAACTTGGATTGGGGTCTGTCAAAAATGCTTTTTTACATGGAGACTTCGACGAAGAAGTGTGTATGGAAATTCGTCTAGGTTTTGACAATGAGAAGACTAAAAGAAGGGTTTTGTAGATTCAAGAAGGCATGTATGGGTTGAACAATCACCTAGAGCTTGGTTTGATGGATTCAGTAAGGTTGTGATTTCTTTTGGATGCTCCCAACGTAATGTTGATCACACTTTGTTTATCAGACATTGTAATTGCATCCTACTAATTGTCTATGTTGATGATATAGTTGTAACTGGAGATGATGAAAAGGAAATTGCTCACCTAAAAAGGCTATTAGAGTAATTGTTGAATTTCATATTAGTGTTTTCCTATATTAGTGCATAATTCTTACTTTCTTTATCAGTGATAGTTTCCTATTCTAGGATTAACATATGTATATAGAGATTTACTGTTGTAAAGAAGAAATTTGCGATAGAAAAAATTTCTTTCCAATTCTATCACTCTCAACACACAACAATCAATAGGTAAACTGAATAGGCCTCATTTTCTACAACATGCCATTAGCATTCACTTTATGGAGAACTTAAATAGAGTGGCTCTTCATCTTCCAAACTTTTTAAGCCAAAGGAAAAGAATGGCCACTAGAGTGGGAAATAAAAGGATTAGTACAAAATTTTCAAAAATCCAAAACTCAAATCCTTTTATCTACCTCAATAACATAATAGAATATCAAAAACAATTATGTTCTCTACTTATAACTGATATTTCTTAAAAAGTGGAAGTCCCTGAGGAATGTTATCATGGACAAAGAACTAGAAAGTAGAAGCAATGTGCAATAAGAGGACACAGGAAAGATTAAAAAGGAAAGTTAAGAGTAGCTGTATTTTAGGCTCTAAAACAACGAGTCTCCAATGAAAGAATTAATGCATTGAGTAGCTAATGAGACAAGATCAAAATTGGGAGGGAAGAAACGAATATAGAGATTCAAAAGAGAAGATATACAAGCTTTTGAGTTTGATCTTTGGATTTGGTGTGATAAACCTTAGCTTTTAAAAAAGAGGAGAAAGGAGAGTCTTAGTGAGAGTTCATGAAAGGGGGAGTTCAAAAGTTACAAAAGTTTCTTTTTTTTTTTTCGGGTTTTATAATTAAGGAAGAAGAATAGTGCCTACGGGAGGAAGAGAGTTTATGAATTAGATAGATTAGAGAGATGTGGTGAGTTGTATAATAATGATTCAATAGGACCCACTTATCATTTTGGTTTTTGTCTTTTGCAAAATTGAAGTATTTGTACCCTTATTACCAATTTGCTTGAGAGCAGTCCAAAGTCAATCCAAGTATAGTACCTTTCTATTGTAATTCTTATTATTAATATTCAATAAATTAATATTTTATCATGTATTAATTTTTTACAATTTTGACTTGGATTAATACCACAACAACAAAAACAAATAAGCAGTAACCTAAACTAGTTAGGATTAATAGATTAAATTAACAATTTCAATAAATTAATAAGATAATATTTTTTTAAGAAATTCTTAATTAAAATATTTGGTGGTTTAAAAATTCTTGTGATTTTACAATTCATCCATAGGACAAATCATATATGTCACATATGTAATTAGTTTTGATTTTATGATTTGGTTTTGTGGACTGACTACTGATTCTAATTAAAAAAACTATTTTGACAACCTCGATCATAATTTATGCCACCCTTTGAAGTGTTCCAGCACTCTTACTGAAATGCCATAGAGAAACCACAAACCATATGCTTAGCAGTCTTCTTCATGTCATCATCCTCAAAGGCCTCTCTAACTCTACCAATCTAGATTTTTAAGGATTCCAAACTAAACCTTCTATCAAGGGTCAACTTAAAAATTCTTCACGAAACAAAATGCATCACGGTCTTCTATAAAAAAAAAAACTTTTCTTTTGGTTCAATTTTTTGCTTAGAATTAGATTTAGTACCATGTGGCTGGCCCTGCATGCATGAATTACTGTCTGCAATTTAATTTATATTCCTTCCTACACATAATGAAATAATGCACTCACCAACGGAAGTAATCACTTCTAATACCCAGAGGTGCAGCAAGTAATATATCCGTAATCCAGGGGGACAAAGGCCTTAAAGGTTTCCTCTCCTGTTGTACTGAAGGTGCGTGACAGGCTTCCCCATCAACCGAGCCACTACTTGTAGCATAGTTTCCATCATTTTTTCTTTCCATTTCACTATTCTGTTGTTCCACCTTATATACTGGACGATTGTAATGAGTCAAAATTCGCAAAATCTCTCCACATGCCAGAGCCCATTGTTCAGAATATTCATTCTGGAAAATAGCAAATATACGTTAGTACTTCAAAGTCTCTTTTTGATTTCTCAAGCAATTCAATGCCATAATGAACAAATAACATGTTTAATGTAGTTCAAAAAAAAGTCAGACCTAATGAGAAGATAAAACTAGTGAAAATTAGAAGGTGAATTAGAAACTACAGTTCACTAAAAAAGGAAGTTTTCTTATTGAACAAGAGATGAGAGGAAGAAAGAAGGAAGAGTTTTTGAAGGTTCAGATCATGTACCTCACTACTTGGGCAGACCAATGAAATGAAAGAAGCAAATGGAGGACTACTCCTATCATACACCAGCGTACCATCAATTAGACATGAAATAATTGGAAGAACAACAGCATGCCCATGTTCCGGATGATGGAGGACAAAAGTAGCTGAAATTGACATCAAAATGTGAAATAGTTATCATAAAGCCAAGAGAATATTTTGTATTGACAGATGTAATAAATTGTTTATACATTAACAAGTATACAGAACCAATACCCAGGACATCATCAAACAGGCGTTTTTCCTTTGATGGATAACGATTACGAATCAGCTGTCAAAACAATATGCACATCAGTAAACAATATATGTTCCAGACACTACTAACTGTTAAATTTTCAAAGAAGTTTAGCATGTTGTCAATTTTCATAAAATATAAATAAGAAACAGAATCAAAGAGATAAAGCATACCTCAGCAATATCGTCAGGAAATTGTTCTGATGTGAACTGCCCAAAGTACTCAACATAGGCAGTAATTTGTGCCTGCAGAGGAGGGGAAGAAGGAAAACACAAAATGTATGTCAGAACTCCACTTCAGTACATAGAATTCTTATAAAATATTAGAAATGGATAAGATTTCCAAGTCAAGCACATTTCAAGGTCAATTAATCTAAAATGGAGAATCAGTCACTTAAGCCATTAGAATTCTGAAAGAAGAGATGCTAATGAAACAGATTCATCTCAAGATCAAAGCCAGATTCAATTACCAGCATCTATACAACACTTAAATTTTTCGTATAATCTACATACAACTGCTCTAAATCCAATCCTTTTTTGATAAAAATGGTTGAAATGAAGTTTAATTGAACCGATATTCCACTAAAATGTAACATCTGCTTTCTTTAAATTATGATCTAGTATTTAATGACTATATATGAGAATTTGAACAAGAAAAGAAGATGTCATGGCTTTACTTATCATTAGAAACAATTAAGATGCCAGCAATCCTCATGTATGAACAACCTAACATCATCTTCATTAAGGATGGATTACAATTGTCTCTGAAATTGGAATTGTCTCTGAAATTGTGAGAATACCCCATGTCCCTAGATTACACATGGATCAGAGATAATTTCCATAACCTGGTTTATTTTCTTTTATTTGAAATGCAAAGAAAAAACAAATTGCAGACTGGTAAGCAGAAGGTCGTAGTCTGCATATATGAAATATATAGTTAACTAGACCTTAAAATAACTCAGAGATTAGGCTCCTAAAGATCAAAGAGAAAATTGAATGAAAAAGATAAAATTAATGTAACCACTCCATCTTGATATAAACGCAGCAATGCTTTCAATCCAAAATACCCTGTTACGTTGTTCCTTCCAAATGCACCATGCTAATCAAAAGGGAGGCTCCTTAAAGGGATGCTATGATTTGAGCACTTGAAAAATTACAGTCAGACTAAAACAACTGCTTTGGCAGAACATCCAGCATGAACCAACTTGTCAGTAATAACATCTCATGCTCTAGTAGTAAAAACAGAACTATTAAGCACTGACATGCTGGCCTCATGACCCTTGTGCTCTAACTTCCATTACCATCCCTCATTATCCTCAAAATGCAACCCACTCCTAAGTCACAATTGCTCTGGCAGATTATAATTTGGAGCTGAAGGGATTATATTTATTGCAACTGCACAAGCAAAAGTTGATCCTGCAAAATTCTAATATTTCCTTTTCAACCAAATAAGCATATTGCTATGATCAGAATAGCACAATATCACAAACTTTTTTCTTCCTTCCCCTTCCTAGATCCTCTAAAATTTTCTTCAATAAGTCTTCCAAATTTGCAAATGAAATCCAATTTCTCAGAATACCAAAACATCAAAATCTCAAGAAAAAAAAAATCGAGAAAAGATGATGGGAATAACTACATCTATAGCACAACATTTATCAAGAAACAGTTTCATATTAGGTCACCTGACCTACAGCAAAAGTTGGTGTTTATACTATATTACTGATGCAGACAAGACAAAAAGCTTAACGTCCAAATATGCTAACCTACAAGATGTCCCACACCAAGAGCAATGATGCCAAAACAAAAGTGTATGATGGGAATGTTATGGTATGACATATTGGTAGGAAACTCTAAAGAAAAAGAAAATACAATTAGTTGAAACTGTACTAAAAAGATCAGTAATAAGTGGAATGACAAATATTTATTATGAAAATGGTAGCTCAAGAATCACATGCAATTAAATCCTAGATGGTACATGGTAGATTTTTCCAGCGGCACATGAAAACTCATCTGAATTTTCCCACAATCCACTAAAACCAAATTGATAAGTTATCACTAAAAAACTTCTGACAAAATGAAACATGGTAATAATTTTAGAGAATAAAAAGAGGAAGAAAAACATGCAGTTGATATCAGACTAATGAAAATAATACAATTTATTTATCTAACCTTTCGTTGCTGGACATCTTGAGGAGCTGGCCAGAACAATGACGAGAACTGAAGACCATCAATCCATCTCTCGGAAGAGCTTGCCATAAAAATATCTTATTTCTTCCAAAAAAAAAAAAAAAAACCCTTTTTCTTAAGCCAATAAACAACAAAACCAACAAGAGAACCACAAACTTCCCCTCCAACAGTTACCAATCAAGAATCAATATGTCGTAGTTCAGCATACCGACAGAATAACTTCCTGAGGCCCCAGAATTCTCAGTTCAAAAAACTAAGAATTGAGCTTCAATCTGTAGCTGAAATAATCCAAGAACAAATCATTCACCTCTCTCAATGAAAAACCATTTTTCGCACTATTTTATCCTCAAAATTTTGAAGCTTATGCTCCTTTACAGTGGTAAACGTCCAAACCTGATTTTTGCAATGCAAATTACAATTGGAATCAACAGCTCTGCAAAAACAGAGTTGAAAAAAGAAATTAGAGCTTACAATCAGATATGAAAGAAAACTAGAGTAAATCAAAACAGATACACAATAAAGACTCAAAATTTAATATAAAATGAAAACAAAATAAAAATAAATTGGAAAGTGAAAACCCACAAGGAATCAAATAAACATGACACAAACAAAAAAACAGAGAACATATCTATGAGTGACTTTCAGGTAAATCATTTTCAACTAATAAATGAGGGGTAAATCTTGAAAATAAAAAATTACAGATAAAATAAAATAAAAAGAAAAATAAATAAAAAGAAAAAACAGCAATCAAATTGAACTTAAATCCAAGAAACAAGAAAAGCCTATTATTCTTGTTTCAAATTATAGACATAAACACATATGTTCAAATCTACGCATATAGCTACGCAGAGAACAGAGATGAAACTAATAATTACTGAAAATAAAAATAAAATCTAGAAAATAAAATAGTTCCTGGTTCTTACAGGTATCTGAACAGGCTTTTGATTTTGCTGGTTGGTTGTAGATATTTGCCTCTATGGTTTTTTCATGTACAGACAGAGGGGGCTGTAAAAATGAGATTTTCTTTTCTTTTTTTTTTTCTAATTTCTTGGAAAATTGTCGTTTTTTTTTTTCCACTTTCTTTTTGTTCTTAGCTTAGAAATTGTGAAGAGGTTGTAAGCTTTTGGCAGAGAGAAAGAGAGAGAGAGAGAGAGAGAGAGGGGAGATCTTTAGTAGGTCTCTCGCTCATAGATTACCAGCAGACGTGGCAATGATATTTTCCTCTCACCTTAGAGGCCCACGTCATCTCTCCCTCATGCCATGTATGTATACATGCATGCTTGTACATGGCATGACATGCAGTGGCAGGCGGAAGGAGCCCTTTGCAGCGCCTCAGGACAAGAATTCATCGATAGAAATTTGCAACTTTTATTTTGTAATACTCTAAATTTTACAAATAATTTATTATGCACTTGAACTTGTAAAAATAAATTTTTTAATACTAATATTAATACCTTTTAAAGGTTTTAGCTTTTATCTGTAAAATATCGACTCGATATATAGTTAGCATGACTTTTAAAATAATAATTTTCATAAATGTCAACTTTTTAATGAGTGTTATATTGATTTAATTTTGCAAGTCGAAGTATTCAATAAAATAAATTTATAAAATTAAAATATTTAATAGGTATAATTTTATAAGTCGAAGTGTTTGATAGATAAATATAAACATTGAGAGTGTCACAAAGTTAAAGTAACAAAATTCAATGGTGAATTTATGTATTCAGCTCCCTTGCAGCCTTGCTCCAAAATTTTTTTGTTAGCACAATATATAAATTGACCCCTGAACTCTTCACGAAAGCTTTATAGCACCCTCAACTTTCACTTTGACCTATTGAATACTTCAACTTATAAAATTGCACCTATTAAATACTTTAATTGACCTATTAAACACCTCAACTTATAAAATTAGATCAATTAAACACTTATTTAATTGTTAAAAAATGTGAAAATTATTATTTCAAAAGTTGTGTTAACCACATATCAAATCAATATTTTACATATAAAAGTCAAAAATCCTAAAAACTCTTGCTATTAGTATGAAAAAGTGTGCAATATTACCAAAACTTGCAAGTTCATGTGCGCAGTAGGTTTCACAAAGTTTAGGGTGCCACAAAATTAAGATTTTAAAGTTGAAGGATGAATTTATAGGATGAATTGATATATTTGGCCCTTGCTTCATCTTTTAGTTTGGAGGGACTACAATCATATACCTTCACATTTCAGTAATAACTATGTCTTACTCGATTTGCCTTGTGTCATCTTTAAGTTTGTGGGTTTCATTACCATACACTTTAATATTTCAACAATAAGTATAGGTCTCGCCAAAATAAAATGTAAAAGTACAGGTTCATAATTAAACTCTTACATAATTATTGGAGGACATAGTTATTATTGAAACGTGAAAGTCTAATGTCATGATATGTTGCTGCAAACTTAAATGTGCCACAAAGCAAATCATATAAATTTTAGGGGCAAATTTATGCATTTAGCCAACTATTTTTTATAATTTTTGCCTTGATAAAATTTATTTTTTTCACCTCCCCATAACTTTTGAAAAATATTTTTAACCCCTAGATTTGATTTCCAATACAAGTCAAATTTTAAAGACTAAATATATAAAATCTCTAACTTTTTTTACTTTAATTTTATAACACCTCAAATTTGAAGAAAACATATTATGTAGTGTAATTAAGAATTTCAATAACACTGTAAAATTTACACTAACAATAACAGTTTTTAGTTTGTATATGTAAAAGTACTGAATTGATGTATAATTAGCACAACTTTTAGAATAATAATTTTCACTTTTTATCTAATAAGTATTTAATTGATTTAATTTTATAAATTAAAATGTTTAGCAAGTGTAATTTTAAAATTTAAAATTTTTAATGGGTAAAATAAAATTTAAGTTCGTTAAAAATTAAAATAACAAGATTCAAGGTGACCATTTTAAAAGTCTAATGCATAGAATTATTTTTGAACTTTAAAAAGATTTTATTATTATAGCACTAAAATTTTTTTGAGACTAGTCATATATGTCTAAATTGTAATTTTCATAATAAAAAAGCACCTGCAAGAGCTTATAATGGGCCTATAAAAATTATCATTAAAAAATTTCAATTGTCAACCCTAAGCAAAAATATTTACTAAAAAATTATTATTTAAATGACATGATAAGTCTCGAAAATTTTGAGGGGTAAATTTAAAAGCACGCGTTATGGCGAACTACAAAAGGACAACAAGGCAACTATCGTTTTTCCATAAATGTCCCCAACAACACGAATAAAATATTGATTTTCTGCTTGGCATTATTGTTAAAGGGCGTTTTAGGTGTTAAAATATTAGGTTTTGGAGTGGGACTGCCTTCGATATTTTGGAAAGGGTTTTGTAGGGCTAGAGACGGAGGAGTATGTCTACTTTAGTGATTTAAATTTAAATTCAAATATGTTGTCAGAGAAAATACATTAAAATTAATAATTTAAAAAGAAAAAGGAAATGATAAAAGCATTAATGAGTAATAGGTTGATTCTGGGTTGGGTTGATAATAATCAGTAAAATGGATTCAACTGATTTAGTTCAAATTCGATTTTTAAATTTCAATTTAATAAAAAAATCAAAAAATTATATTTTTGTTCATTCATGTACTTTTATAAATCCCGAAAATAAATCTGCAATTCTTTTTTATTTTGAAAGTTTGTCTATTATTCCTTTTTCTGTTGAAAAAAATTTGATTTTCAAAAAATATGAGAACAAAACTCCTATTCCCGTTAAAAAAAATTAGAGCAAACTATTTATATATTAAAAAATTACTACATTAAAACATTAATATTTTTTAATTATTTTGACTTTTTTTTCATTTTTGAATAAATGTAAATCTTTCCATCTTTTATTTGAAGAGAACTTATTAAAGTTTCAAATTAAATTATTGAAGGTTAAACCTACGTAATGCTATGAACTTTGCAATTTGTTACAAAATTATTTTATTTTGATCTTTATATTTCGAGCATCCCAATTTATAAATTTAGATATATTATCATCTCAATCTCAAATTTGACTTAGAATTTTAAATAAAATATTATAAAAGTGAAACTTATCCTTAGATTATCTTAACCCAATGATCAAAACTCCATATTTTATTAATCAGCAAACAAGATAAACTAAGAACATCTTTGATATATAAAAAAAAAAAAAAAAATCAAATGGAGCAGGAAAAACTTTTGGCTCCTATTCTATTAAATCGAAATAGAACCAAATATTTTAAAAATCAAGTCAAATCCAACTTATCAGTTTGATTCAATCGATTTACCAATTTCCACCCAGCACTAATTGATCCAATGTTGCATGCGTTTTTAAGAGACAAAGCTAGGAAGTGGTCTTAATCAAATATTGGTTGAAGGTCTTAAATCTTAACACGTCACCAATTATGCTTTAAATATACTGATGCAAAACAATTACTTTTCAATAAAAAAAATATATCTTTATTATATTCGAAAAAGATGAATAGTTTATTTTAATAACATTTGATGCAACAGTCACCACTGCTTTTCTTAGTCACCACTGCCTCACTAACAGTCTAGTGCACCAACGACGCACCACATTACTTTTTCTTCGTTAATTATTGTCTAAAAAGAAAAGTATTTTCTTTTTTTTTATTATTATTATGCCAAAGATTAATGATTTTATAATAAAAACTATTTAAAAGTTAATAATAATATTGGTGAAAATATTATTAATTATTTCATGAATTTTCCATATTTGTGTTCCATTAAATTTGACCAGCATCATTTCTTGAAGATGTTATAATTCCACGTTTGTTTAAATTTCTTTTTATTTTCTTTATTCAATGCATTTTGGATAATTGTTAAAATTCCCCATATTTTCTCAATTGTCATTATTAGATTTGTTAAATATAATCACTCAGTGGTGATCTAGTTGATTTTCTCACACATACAAAGAGTTCGAGGTTTTTAATTTGAATCTTATCGATCATTGTTGTTTTCACTAATTTCGTGAATTAAGGAGAGTACTACCTCCTATTATATAGCTGATGATATTATTTCCATTATTGAGCTGCATTCAATGAATTAAAAAAGCATATATGGCCACTTTGGTATAGATTAGTGTTTCTCTCACGCTACTAGCGAATTGAATATTACCAAATCAAGGAAAGAAGAGCACTAATACAATCAAGCTTTGGCTAAAATGTAAAAGAACAAGAAGCAGTGAGTGTTGGTTTTGTTTGACTTTATGGAGTTAAAGTGGAAACAATAAAATAATAATAAGATAATAATACTTCTCTCTTTACTTCATTTTAACAGCAAATATATAGACATTTTATTTTATTTTAAGTGCTCATTTAAGATTTTAAGAATATATTAGTTATTTTTTTCAATTTTATTAATATTTATTAGGTTTATTTTGTAGAAAAATTAAATAGAAAATTTTTAATTTTAAGAGGGCAATTTAGATATTATATTTAAATTGAATACTCAATTTACATAAATTTTTATGAAAAGATAAAATGTTATGTTAAAATAAAACGGGAAGTAATAAAAAAGTAGCAGTAGTATTCAAGTTGACTTTGAAGTTTGAAACTAGTTTTCCTAATATGATGGGTTGACTCTTTAAAAGTGATTGAGCACTTACAAAGAGAAATTAAGAAATTGATTGATTCCGAGTGGAAAATACACGCATTTGCCATTTGGTAGTATCTACTTATCATTTTCGTATGCAAAATCCAAGGTTTGATGATTGCTCAAGTGGCATACTTTTGTGTATGAATTGACTTTTGTTTTCTTTATTTTTTTTTCCCTCACATGAATTGATTGACTTAATTAGTAGATGATTTATTTTAAAATTTTAAAAATAATTATGAAAAACATCATTAAAATGAAGAACTTCATTGAATAATTAAAATGAGGTATATTCTGAATGATAAGACAGAGGTTCCTAGATTTAAAATATCTCAATATTAATTCCTCATTTTTTTCCCTTTTTTGTAATTTTTACTCAATTTAATGGCTACTCTACATAAATTTTAATTACAGCATTGTACATATTTTTTTTACCATAGCTTGATTAATTTGATAAAAAATAAGTCATACATCAACAATATGCATATATATAATTTTGCCATTGTCATAAGTTAGAAA